ACTGGAACAGAACGAGGCTAGAAAAGGTTATCAGAGGATTGGGAAATGTACTGTATAGGAGTCGGAACGATAACAGTATTCCTCCACATCTGATTGTGATTTGATACTGGACGGAATCTAGAGTAGTTCCACTGTAGCCAATAGATCCAAAGCAGGAAAAAGAAAATGTTAACCAAAGTTGATGGTGCTTATATGTGTCCAAAAAAATTATTTGCAGATAGATATTCGCAACTCTGGCACAGGGCCTCTGCCCAGAAAATTTGTCCAAATATTAAAAAATAGTAAATAAGAAAATGTACTTAAATGTAGTCCAGTGTTTGAATTTTCAACTGAACTTTGGCAGTAAGCCCTAAATGTGATAAAAGACTCTGCACCAATATATTTGCTTTTCTCTTCTTTTTTTTTTTTTTTCATTTCTTTCTGTCTCTATAGACAAAGCAGACAGCATAGCATAGATCTTGAGATATGGCTGATGCGTTTTTCTAAGCTAAAGTATGTTGTTAGCTCTTATGCTAATGACTGCAGCAGAATCCCAACCTCCTTCCACAAAGTATTTGTGGGAAGAGAGGTTACCGCTGAGCATCGTCTCGGGTTTTGGATCTTCCTCTGGGTCTTTCAACAGCTAGATTCAGCCAGTGCCTTGTGTGTAACATCTGTTCTCAAGTCGCCAAGTCTTGCTGTCCCCATTTTACAGATGGACTTTTGAGAGACAGGAGGAATAAAGCCAAATGCTTCAAAGATACTTAGTGGAGGTTAAGTGCTGAGTTCTCTTTGAAGGTCTAAACCCAAATGACAAGCTTGTGATCATGCAAGAGATTTGTATTGCCCATGGGAGCAGAACCATTTTTTCAGGGTAGTGTCATAACCACTCCACAATCCTTCCTCTTTCTTCTTCCTAAAGCTCCCACTGACTTCAAAGGTGAAGAATTATGGCCCGCATCCCACAGCACTGTGAGCTCGGACGTGTGTGCAGAGCTTTACCCACACATATATTCCATCAGGGATACTGACTCAAGTAAAATTACACAGGCAGTGTGGAGGGGAAGAAATTTCTGCAAGACTGGGACTTAACTTCTTTGCTGTTCTCATATTCTCTTCCTTATGCCTCAAAAGCTGAACTAAGAAAAGCAGGGTGTACCTAAGGACTGAGTTTGGGATCCATCTATACTGTCCATAGGAGAGCTGTAACCCAAAGTAAATGGGAATAGAAAAAAGAAAGAGTTCTGGCTGATTCAGTCAAACAAAATAGTCTTTCTTCTGAACACCTCTGAATTGAATAGATTATTGAATTTTCAGGGGAAATATGTGGAGAGAGAGAGTGTGTGTGTATGAGTTGGTTGGACTCTCAGAAAACTGCATGGCTCACAGAGACTGGACAGAAAGAATCTGTTTATCTCTTGTTGCATGTATCCACTACAAAGCGAGTGTGCCCCAGGTGATGGATAGCACTGTGTTTTTCTGCTGACCAACTGCTGCTCTCCGAGACGAACAGCAAATTTAGAAGTTAAGGTGTTTCAATAGTCACATAATCCACCCCGCTATACATTTAAATACTAGTAGCAGGATTCAGCTATCATCAGGAGGTCAGTCCCTAACGCACAGGCACAGCAAATGTCTCATCCACTCACTGTCAGTTCAAAACAACAAATACCTATCATTAAAAAGTTGAAATTAATTTTTACACTGAATGGAAACAAAAATATTTGATAGAGTGGAAGAGGGAAGGTGCATCCCTCGGGTGCATTCTTTAGCCCATCCCTTTAAAGCAACAGATTTTCTTTTTTCAAAAAAACCCTCCAACCCTTAAATCCTGGCGTCAGTTAACAGCTTCCTAATTGCATGCGACTGTTTCTTGACTTCCCGATCCCTGTCTGGTGGTTAGGAATCCAAAGGGTTTCTTAAATCAACAGGAGCAGCTGCCTTCTTGAAGCCAGGCATGGTGTATGTCACCGACTGTGGAAAGGATCTGCGATACAGGGAGGAGCGGAGGTGATTAATGGGGCCGGTGTCGTAGCTCAGAGTGTGGTTGCACTACTGTGTACGGGCATACTTACTTCAATCATTTATTTTCTGTCCTCTGCCATCCACACGCAGGAGCATAACTGCATGTTTTGTTTTTGCCAATGATGGAACAGTCATTAGAAATACAGGAATGCAGAAGGTGCAGCAGGACCTGTAGCTGATGATGTGCCTCTAGAAGTGATGCTTTCCTCTTGTTCCTTAGATAAGCATGAGAAATGCTGACAAAACCCGTTCTTTGGTTTTAAATTTCTCTCTTTGCCATTGGCAACCTCTTTCCCACAGAAGAGAAAGAAAGGAGAGAAAAAAAAAAAGGCAAGTAAATTGCTGCATTTTGTGGACTGTATTTTAGGTTAGGTAAAGGAGGGGAAACAACCTGGGTTGAATGTGGACGTAGGGTTGCAAGTGCTGGAGTTGCACAAGCTGAAGGAAGATGCATGCCTTCTTGGCAAAGATCATCTTGCTCAAGGTCTGAACACAACTTCTGTCCTTGAGCCATGTAGACCTCCAGTGTCACAGCTTTCCTCTGGCTGCAGTGGGATGCACAAAGCCATTCGATGCCCCGGCACTGCCGCTCCCGCTTGCTGTAAGAGCAGGTTGTCTTCACAACAGGCAATGCTGTACCTTGCTGTCCCCAAAGCATCACAGGTGGTTGGAGACCAGGTCCCATCAGTTCCCAGCCTTCACTTCCCTTCAGCCAAAAGCAGGGAAGAAGAGACTTCTCTTATGTGGGTGTTGAGCCTTTGGATGTTCCCAAAAAATTTCACCTTCCATTTCAGTCTCCGAAAGCTCCTGGCTCAGCGATATCAACCCATTAAACACAGAGCCTCAGTACAGATGAGATACAAAGGCTTTTGATACTTGCGTGGACCAACTGATTTACAGCTTTGTGTTGCAGAGGACATTGCAAGTGTAAAATGGCTCCACGTTCCTCAGACTTTATTCCTACAACAAAAATCTCTCCCTGCCCTTCACCAGGAACTGAAGCCACGACATCCTTTGCTGCCGTAGCCAGCAGCATTCTACCCCTCCGACGCCAGCAGGCTGCTCCTGCGGCCCCTTGGGACAAATGCACGTTCTTGCCAGACGTGGAGGTAGCTTCCTTGTGTATTAACAGGAACCGGGTGTCTCCGATGGGTCTGGCTTAATGGCTTATTATTTGTTGAGTGCTGGCAAACGGCTAAACTGAGAACAAGGTGCAAAGTACTTGCACGCTCTGAGGAGTTCACAAGATGGAAAGCTTTCCATGCGGGAAAGCCCAGAGGAAGGAATGACTCAGGGTAATGCAAATGAACCCTTAAGGAGGGATGCGCCATGAGTACGGTGATTTGGCAAAGCAGGTTGGGAAGTTGTAATGTGTGGAAAATCAAAGGTCCACCTGGTCCACGTGGACCGACAGGCTAGGGCTGGTTGTTGTTGGCAGCAGATGAACTCCAACCACATGGGATTCCCCAGCTCAGGAGATGTGGTGCCCATTTCTGGCTGTCACCCAGCTGGGTACAACCTTTGGTGGGAATCCAGAGCAAGGCCTAGACTTGTCCTTCTTCATGCTGAGAAATCTCTGCTATTCTGTCCCTGACATGTTAGAAGAGCTGTAGGTGAGGCCGCCGATGAAAAGGTTTTAAGGAGAGCCACTGGGAAGATGGAAATTAGTTCTCTCCATAAGACTTGCTGAGAGACAGTATGAGTGAAGGGGGTGGCAAGAAACAAAACTTGTTCTCATAAAATCATGTGGCCAAGTGGGACGGTAAGAGGTGGGCTGAGAAATGGAGACTAAAGACAAGTTTTAGAAAATGAGTACAGGAATTTGGTATAGTAGAAAACCAGAGAAAGAATTAACCAAAGTAACAGAGTCCTTGCATCAAGTATTTCAGCATGGTGAGTGAGGGATGTTCCCCGTATGGGCTGTGCATGCAACAGCATTACCACCGACTCAGATTAACACTGGAAATCCTGGCAGCTTTACATGTACCCGGGGACTCAGAAATCTGAATCTGGATCTTGCAGCTTAAGCTCCTTTCCAGTGGTGAGGCACAGAAAATCGACAGAAGGTGCCTGGGTCCTGTTAGCAGTCATCAAACACTGTCCACCTACAGCACTTCTCACTGCAGGGCCCGTAGGCTCCCGAACTCTCATGTTAGACCTTGGACTCTCATCTTGTCAAAACAAGTTGCCTGTCCTAATAATCAGAAACTTCTGGCTTGTCTGTCTGCTATATTGGGTCTTGGCTCATTCCTGGTTCTGCTGCCCTGACTTGAACGGTCCTTGGGGTTTCCACCTTTCTTCTGCACCTATGAACACCTCTCCTTACAAAAATGGGGACTGAAGGAGCAGGTCTTATGGAAATCCCTTTTGCTCCTTGGAAATATCAGGAATGTTCCAGGGATTTATGTGCTGCAATGCATGGTCTTCTCCAGTGAGACCTAATAGCATCGCAAGAAAGATGCAGGGGTTTACCCCATTTACATCTTCCTGTGCCTGGATTTGCTAACCTTTCCTACTTTTTTAACTGTTAGATTAAGAGCATATACAAGCCAAATCTGGCAGTGCTTACTCAAGTTCATGGTGACCTAGTCTGAGAACAAATTACAGGATTTGTCCTAGTATTAAATAGCCAATGAACTGTGTTGAACAAGCAGAGAGTAAAGGTTTTAGTAACTCACCCAAATGTAAAGCCTAGAACTACATTCTGCTGAAGCAACAGAGGAAACTCAAAATTAATTTCAGTTTCATTTAGCAAAATAGTAGTTTCACTTAAAAAAAAAAAAAAGCATGTTGGTTGGTGATATGTTTTTTCTTTGTAGAGTTGCTAGCAACCTCACAAACTTCTTTCCTCTAGTGTTGGGTTGTTGTTTTGTTTTGTGGGTGTTTTTTTATGGTGGTGATGCTCAGGTGGTTTAAATAAAGCTAGATTAAAACATCCAGTGTTTTGCGTTTTACTTAACCACTGTCACCTGAACTACTACCTCTCTCCATTTCAGGTCCCTAACTTCATCAACACCACGCTCCCACCCCACGAGCAGGTGACGGCTCAGGAGATAGACAGCTACTTCAGACAGGAGCTCATCTACAAGAGGAATGAGAGGATGGGGAAGAGAGTGATGGCGCTTTTAAGGGAGAACGCAGACAAGAGTTTCTTCTTTGCCTTTGGAGCAGGTACGGTATGAATTTCTCTGTTTTGCTCGGTTATCGTGATTTGGAAGTAAAGTGGTTTGAATGCTTCAGGATTTTGTCTCTGGTCCTGCAGGAAGGTTTCTTAGGGAACCTGCTGGTGAAGCAGAAAGGTGTGTGTTTGTCAAAGCCCGCTTCTGAGATGCAGTGAGTCGGTGTAAGAGGTGGGTCTGGGTCCAGCCGGGCAGCAGACCGGCTGCACTCCTTTGCTTTCCATCAGATTGTAGAAATATGAAGCTATTAACGCTTTTCACGCTGTTGTGTTTGTTCCCTTCTCAGCCCAACCTGTGGGCTGCTTGGGTTACGTTTGCACCATGGTTGCGTTTGTGGCCACAGGTGCAGGAGATGGTTGAAGTGCCTTTGAATTTGCAAGCCCGGGTACCGATGGCAGCGGCCGTGGGAGTACAAACCTTGCTGTGCCATGGGCATGTGTGCGTGGGTTGGAGTGCTGGCCCGGGGTTTCAAACCCGTCGGGGTTGCTGCAGTTAGACTTTCTCAATGGGTGACCTAACTACTTTGGTGGTGTGTCTGTAGAGGGTGGCTGGCTTTGGACCTTGAACAAGCGCATGAGTTACGTGTGTCGCTAAATACCAGCATTTTAAATCGTTAAGTAAAAATCCAGTGCATCCCTCCGCCTGTTTTCATTCTCTCTGTGAAGTCTGCGAAACAAAGATGTCTATAGTATTTCTGTGAGTCTGACAGTACATGCTACTGTCCTTTTTCTCCCATTTTTTGATTTTATTTTTCCTTTCCAATGGAATTCACATTTGTGTGTGATAAGAGTATAAATAATAACTGTTCAGGCCCCAGTTCAGCAGACTCCTGAGCACCAGCTTAAGTGGCTCTTTGAGCTCCCTCGACTTCAAGGCAGCCTGAGATTGTTGTGCTGAGAACCGATCTGCTCCTCCTGCTCCCTCTCCTTGACAATTTCTCATTTTTGACAGAACTTTGCTTCTCATCCCATGGCTATCGCTATGAACTTTGGCAACAACTTGCCTTTCCAATTCCCTACTCACTTCAGTGGGAATTTTGATTAAGGACTGCAGGGTTTAGCAGAGATATGTGCATTTTGATGTATTTATTTTTTGAGTGTATCCAGACTGAAGTTTCCCAAGCTTATTTCATCTCAAGCTTGCCTGATGTTTCTGTCTGAGGAGTTCTGCTTAACTGTTTTTACAGTAGGAACATACATCATGGTGGTTCATAATTGGATAGGGATTCATAACAAAGAGCTTGTCTTAAACCTCACTCCATGGGTTATCAGAGATTATTGAACATGATGGTTTTGATGTAGTCTCCAGTTTTGGAAGTCCCTTAGCCAGTATAGACTGGAGCTGGGAGGGTAGTCTGGGCATCATTGCCCGCTTGCCCTGCTCTGTACACACTTCTCCTGGGCATGTGTTACAGACCATGGCTCAAGGCAGCATCCTGTACTACATGGGTCATGGATCCAATCCACTGCAGCTGTTTGTATGTGCTAATAACAGAAATGAAATTAAGCAAAATTATACTAATTACACATTGCTTTCCATAGAAAGTTGTGCCTTAAGTTGTGGGAGATTTGAGCTTTCATTCCCCATCCCTATTGGAGAGCATCTACCTGAAACTCTGGGGCAGCATCGCTTGGGAAAGCTGGCTCGTAAAGAGCAAGTCCCATTTCGCCCTTTACTCTCCAGTTTTGGCGATGTTGAAAACCTCCTTTGTCGCTGGGTTATTTCTTTTTCCCAGCACCAACTGCAACGAGACAGAGCAGACACATGCAGCAGGATTTTATTGAAAACTGGGGCGCGGGAGACGCCAAGGCAAGCTTTTTGTTTTGGGTGCTTTGTTCCAGCATCCCTTTGGCCTTTCTCACTGAAGCGGGCCATCCCTGCAGGCCATCCCCACTTTAAGTACAATTAATTCCCCCTCTCTTCTCTGGGGTGTTTTTCTCTTCGTGCAGTAAGTACTGAGAAATTTATTAATTTTTCAATGCCAAAACTTTTATGTGGCCGAAGTGCAAGCAAGTTCATTTTCTCATATGATTCAAATGTAGTTTTTCTCCTGAAGGTTTTTGTTGGGTTGTTTTTTAACGCACTGAATTATAAGAGTGGCTTTTTTTGGTACATTTTGTATTTTGCATTCTTATATCTATTTCTTGAATGTTAAGGGGTTGGTTTTTCTTTGGTCTGTCACGAATTCAGATTGTTTTCTAAAACCTTGAGGGTTTGGTTTTGCTTTTTATAAAACTGAAGGGTGTTTTTGATGAAAGTTGAGGCTTTCGCATATCCCCATGGATTCTGAAGTGCAAAATTTTAGGAATGCACCTTTGGTTAGGACAGGCACGATGGAGACTGCAGGACTGCATTTGCTCTCAGAACAGTGTAAGAGTTATTTGACTTCATTGAAGATCCTGTGTATTTAAGACTGACATGCTAGAGGGGAAATAATTTGTAAGAACATGTTCTGGATAATGTACTCTGAAAGGTATTGTTCTTATGCTGAGCATGATCTCTGCATTAAACTGTTTATTTTACGGATATTGGAACTAATGAATAAATAATAATTTAATTACATATGTATATTATGAGTTGGTTTCCAAATTTCATAATCTCCAACGTAGTTTCTGGGAAGGGAAGAATTGGATAAAACTGTATTGGCAAATAAAATTAGGACAATAAATATTTTCCTAAATAAGAAAATAAGCCTGTTATGAGACAAGCCCCTTGGAAAAGCTTCACTAAATGCGATGTTATGGACCTGGGCTGCTGTAAGAGGGATTTCCAAGCCCTGCACAATGATTCATTTGGACTCGGTGGCCTCCTGTAACTCGCAGGTATAACCGGAGCGATGAGGTTTGGGGACAGGGTCCTGCCCTGAAAGCAGCCCTCCTGAGGTAGAGCCCCACCAGGTTCCTCCAGTGGCCTCACCTTATGGAAGCTTCTGTAGGGAGGTTCACCTGGCTTCTGCGCCGCAGCGTGTAGCAATGGAACCTCTGTTGCTCTGCTGGGGCACCATCCTCAGCTTGATTTAAGATCTCAGTGCCATGGGTGGGTAGTTCAGTAGTGTCTATCGCTGCATTATTTTAATGAGCTTGGCTAAGCCAGGAGACGTGATGCAGATGTCTTTGCAAATTACAAT